AATGCACTTATATTTCAGGAACATGTTATAATACACTAGATGGATGCGCTAAGGTTCCAGTATCAGGAACAGATAAGAAAGCTTATTGTGAGTTATTAACATCTAATACTAAGAAATGTACTTACATTTCAGGAAACTTTTGTACTGATAGATAAGACAATTGCAAGGATTATGATGTTACAGATGCTACTAATAAAGACACTACATGTAATTCGCTAAAAAATACAACAGGTAATGGGTGTACTTATATTTGGGGAAATAAATGCGTTCCATTAGGTGCTTGCTCAACTTATACAGGTTCACCTACAGCAGCATTAGGACCAGAAAATACTAAAGAAGAAGCTTAATGTTCTACTTTGAAAGATGAAAATAGAAAATACCCATGCATTAAAGATGAAACAAAAACCTTAACATGTAGAGCCTAAGCGTGTGCTGACAATCATAATAGTGAAACCGGATGTACAAATAATGTCTTTGGTTGTATATACTATTAAAATAAATGTTTAACTAAAAGTGCTTGTGGATCATATATTCTCCCAGCAGATTTATCAGAAGATACTCAAAAAACAGCATGGTGTGAAGGAGTCACTGATACTAGTGATAATAAATGTAAATTTGATGGTACTAAATGTGCGAATAGACAATGCAATGATTTACCAACAGCAAACTTTTACACTAATTTTGATTGTAAAAGCTATTTGAAAACTTGTAAAACTAATGGCAGCAAATGTGTTGATGATACAGTATCTTGTACTAATTTCACAGGTAATCAATAGTTTTGTGAATATTTATCTGATAGCACAGCTAAAGATTATTGTAAAGTAAATAGTTTAGCTGTTACATCTGGTAGTTGCCAAGTCAGAACTTGCTATGATAATGTTTCTTCTGAATCAGATCAAGAATGTGAATCTTGGTTGAAAGGATGTGTGACCAGAGGAAAAGGATGTATTCCAAGAGATAGAGTTTGCTCTGAATATAGAGGTACAAAAACAAAATGCGAATATTTTAAATATTTTAGTCATATTGATTCTACAACTAAACTTGATGTTTATGTTTTATGCACTGGGGATGCTTCAAATACTGAAACTAGTAAATGCAAAGATAGAAAATGTACAGATAATACTACTGCTACTTCAGATGATGAATGTAAGGCTTATTTGGATGGTTGTGTAACAAAGGGAACTGGATGTGTTGACAAATCATCCGATTGCTCAGCCTACAAAGGATCTAGAGAAACATGTAGTAAATTTATGGGATCAAATGGATTAGATTATTGTTTCAATACTTCTGCTGCTCCAGAGACAGCTACTTGTTAAAAAAAGAAATGCACAGATATTTCAGGCACCAATAATAAAGAATGCAGTGATGGAATGAAACCATTTAAAGTAACTGATAAACCATTCTGTATTTATAATGGAACTGGTTGTGATACCAATAATAAGAAATGCGAGGAGTTTAAAGAACCGAAGTCACTTGTGCAACTTATATTGCATATATAAAATGGACCATGCAAAGCAACTACTGTTGGTACCATTATTGGAAATTGTGCTAAAAGAGTATGTACTGAAGCACCAAATACTTTGAAAACTGATAAGGAATGCTAAGATTATCATACAGATTGCTGGACAACTGGTTATGGATGTACTGCCACTGTTAATTGCAATACTTTAATCAATTAAGATTCTTGTAAATCAAGACCAGAATGTACTTGGGCTAATTAATGTGAACCTAAAAAGGCATCATGTTCTGCTTAGAGTTAAACAAGTCAATCTAATTGTCTTAACACAGTCATAACTACTGAAGTTAATAAAGTAGTTGTTAAGAAGTATTGTGCTTGGACAGAATAAGGTTCAATATGTAGAGATCAAAAATGTGAAAATCAACCTGCAACTATCAACAATCATAAATAATGTAATGATTTTGATAAGGTTTGTACTACTACAGGTGCTGGTTGTATTACAATGACAGTTTGTTCAGGATACAAGACTGAATCAATTTGTAAAAATGCTTCATATGTAAGAGATAGTAAGACTGGAGAATTAGGTAGATGTGGATGGGAAAACAATAAATGTAGAGAAAGAATATGTTAAGATTTAAGTGGAAAGACTGATGCTGAATGTGATGCACATTTGAGTGGTTGTAAAACTAATGGAACAGAGTGTGTTTAAGCATTATTATGCGGTGATTTCAAGATGTAATAACATTGTCTCTCATCAAAGAAAGGACCTTGTCTTTGGGTTAATGGAACTTGTTATGATTATGAAAGATGTGAAAATGCATTAGTAAAGAGTCATGAAGGTTGTTAAGCCTTTTCTCCACTTTGTACTACAAATGGTGAAACATGCATACCAATTACATCTTGTGCTAAAACTGTCTTAAAAGCATCATGTGTTAAAGGTACTGATGGTGTTTGTGGATATTTACCAACTGATAAATGCTAAAAATTTGATAAATGTTCAGATGCAGTTTCAAATGATTAAATTACTTGTTAAGCCTATGGTGGTTGTATCACTGATGGAACAGTTTGTGTAGCAAAAGGTAAATGCGATGATTACAAAACAGAAATTTCATGCAAAAATAATCTTGGTAGTGATGGAATATGCTTCTGGAATGGTCCATCATGTAAATTGAAGGAATGCTCAGATCTTATTGGAACTACTCATGAAGGTTGTAGATCTTAAATTGTCAGTTCTGGTACTTGCACAACTGATGGAACTAAATGTATCCCACTAGGAGTTTGCTCAAGTTATACAGAAGCTGGATGCTAAATCGGAACAGATGGAACATGTATCTTCTCTTTCCCTATAGGTTAAACTACAGGAGATAAGAAATGTAGATTAAAGTAATGTGAAGATATTGATAAAGGAGTTAATAATTCTGCTTGTAATGGTGTTATTCCTAATAAAGAATGTGTTTCTAATACAAAGGTCTGTATTCCTAAAGCAGCTTGTTCAACATATAAAACTTTAGAAGCATGTAATAGAGGAGGAGTAGATGGTGCTAATAAAGTTACTTGTGCATTCACACCTAATTCAGCCACTGATAAAGTTAATGGAACTTGTAAGGCCTTCTCATAATGTTCTGATGCAAACTCTGATCCTATAGCTTGTGGATAGAATAAGGGCTGTAAATGGAATTCAGCTGGAACTACTACATCTTGTGTTCCTCATGCTTGTGATACATATGCAACAGGTACTGATTGCCAACCAGTCCCAAGCTTTGATGGTAAAAGTTTCACTGTTTGTACTCTACAAAATGGTAAGTGTTCAGCTGGTGATCCTGGTACCATGACTGATCCTAAAATATGCTACACTAAATCTGCTTATACTTACACATGGAATGAAACAACTAAGAAGTGTGAAAAGTGTTTAGCTGGATCTACACCATCAAATAATACAACTACTCCTGGTGGTAACAACACTACTGATCCTGGCAATACCGATGAATATGGCATGATTCTACCCATAATGACCTTGGCTCTATTTGGAATTATGGCCTGAAAATGATTTTATTAATATATATAGGGAAAAATTTTAACAAACATTCAAAAATTTTATTATTATTCTTTTAACATTAGATTATATTATGAAATAATATTATAAATTCATGTATGATATATTATGTCTATGAGTAAATTTTTTATTAAAATTATTAGTTCTAAAATATTGTCTTTATTTTTAAAAGAATCATTAATATTGAGCTTATGGTTCTACTGCTCTAAATATTATCGATATATATAAGTTTTTCTTAACATTAATCTATCTCTAATTATGAAACAAATATTAAGAAAGAATAATATTGTTTATATTTCAAGAAATTTGGATTTAGGAATCAAGTGAAAATGGATAATGGAAAACTTTTTGTTATAGCCCCTTTTTCTAACCTAAAATATAAGAAGGACTGAAAAAATGCAATTAATTATTAAAATATATATAAACATTTAAAAATGTCATACAATATAAAAAAAATCAAAAATACATTTACAGAGAGTAAAATATCTTAGCTACATTTATATAGAAAAAACAAGTCACAAAAAGTATAGCAAATTATATCAAAATTCATTTTAATTATAAGAATATAAATCCTTCTCTCTGAAAACTTTTTCTTATCCTTATTATCACTTTGATTTAATAAATCTATAATTTTTCAATTATATTAAATAGTAAATAGAATGTCTTCTGTTAATTTTTAACAGTAAACTCTTTTGAGCATATATCTATGTTATAAAATTAGACAACATATTTTAAACTCTCAAAAAGAATTTTAAGAACTACCAAAAGGATTGATTTCTTTAATAGGATAATATCTTAGGTATCTGTATTAGTATTTTTCTTTATGAAATTATTAAAGAATTAGTTTAGGTATTAGATTGATTCTAAAAATATAAAGGCTTTTTAATAATAATATCAAATATTCTGAATAATATAATTTTTTTAGATAGGGCTCATTAACTTATATATAGTAATTTAGAATATATATATTGAAATTATAATTAATTAATTGAGTAATAATATAATGATGATAATCTAAGATCTAATCACAAAAGTTTCTATTGTATGATGTTAGTTTTGATTGTGATAGTCTCCTAACAATAATAGATTATAGGTCTTCATAAATTATTATTTTAAGAATTACCAAATATAAAAAACAAAAATCTGCTTATTATTCTAATGATTGATAAACAATTTTATTCAACAAAAACTTAAGTTTAAACCCTTTTAAGATTGTAAGTTATTTTCTACTATACAGATTACTATTCTAATAAGAATTGAAAGAGATTTTTCTTGTAAATCTTGATTGAATATTCTTAGAAAGAAGAAGTTTGAGATAAATTTAAGAATTATTATTATGCATATCTTAAAATACTAGACAAATTCAAAGGAAATTTCTTTAACATGTCAGAATATAATAAATAAAATAGAGAATATATATATCTAAATTAATAAAGTGATATAATTAAATCTATTAATTAATTTGTTATAAGATTAATATCTTAAAATTCATTAATTTTCTTAATTCTTAATGACATCTAATAATAATTGAGTAATTTCGTTCTCATTATAAACATGCCCTTTTAGATTCTAATCAAATTACAGTTTATATTAATAATACATAAATGTACAGACATAATATCCACATGCATAACTAGTTTTTTATGAACCAAAATCATTTTTATTATTTATTATGCAATTTTCTAAATTTAATAATTTGGATAATGTCTTAATTAATTTATCATCAAATTAAAAAGATAAAGAATCAAATAATTCTACATTTTTCTTTTCGTAATCAAATAAAAGAAATTACCAATGTTCATTATTTTTATTTATTGGAATGCCTATTTTTTTATAAATTCTCATTAACTCAAAATTCATTTCTTAAAATTGAAGCAATTCTTATTAGAATAAATCTTATGCTTTTATAAAATCATATTAAATTCCAAAGTTTGTGGTTAAACTAGTAGGTAAGAATAAGATTCTCTTAATAGAATTTCGATCAGTTAGTTTTTTTTGAAAATATTATTTGTCACTTTCTAGATTAAGATAAAATACAAAACTATCTATTATACTACTTGTTAACCAATTTTTATTTATCAATATTTATTCATCTCTTACACTGATTTATTAATTATACTTACACCAAAGTGGAAGTTTTTGAAATTGAATTTGCCCTCTAGTGAATTTAGATTGTTTATTATTATTATTATTAATAATTTTTCCTTCTTCTTTTATAATAATTTTTGATGGTGCTTAACTTTTAGATCGACATTATGAGGATTTATTTATATTTTATATTTTAGATGGTTTATCTTAATTATTATTAAGTATTATATTTGATTTTCCTAAATATTCTATGCCATTCCCAATTAAATTAAGGTCTTGCTTTCTTAAATTTAGAGCAAATTTTCCCTATTAAATTTTATATTTTGGGTTTTAATTATTATCTAGTATTGTAGCATAAAGTTTGCCTTCAATTGTCAATTTTTCATCAACAATTTCTAATTTACTATCTTATCTACAATAAAATATCACATTCTTAAATAAAATAACTAAATCAAATTAATTTTACTATAATGTATAAAAGGTTATTTCATTTTATTAGCAAATATCTGTTAAGCTTTTAATTCTATTTTGAACTTAGATTAACTCTTACTCTTTTTTCTTTCCTTTCCCTTAGTTTTATAATGCGCTTTATTTTTTTTTTGTCATTAATTGGTTAAGATAATTTTTAGAATTATTATTATTGAATATTAATACTTTTTTTTTTTAATATAATTATTGATATGATAAATCTGTCTATTAAATATGATCTTGTCCTACTTTTTAAAATTGACTATATTTCATATGATAATAAATAAAAATAAAATTATTTAATTGAATAAAGAAGAATATAATATATAATTCCTTAAGAGTTTAAGATTTTACTCTTATTTCAGATTTTGCTACTTTTTAAGAATGCTATTATAAAGAATAAGGAAATTAATAGAGGTTTATTGAATTTGATAAGAATATTTTTGTAATTGGTGACTTTTTTGATTTTATAATTCCTATTTGTTATATTTAATTAATTCGATTTATCAAATTCTTGTAAAGAAATGTCTTTTTTTGATTAAACCTGCAAATTGCATGAATACAGATTCAAAAATTACTTAATTTAATTATAAATCTTTAAGCTTTCAATTTATCGATGATGTTAATTATCAATAAAACAGCATAATTTCTTAATTTAACTTCATTTTAATTAGATTGTAAAGATATCTTCTTGTATTAGAATCAACATCTTAATAAGGTTTATTTATATGTTGCAAAATTAATCAGACAATCCATCGTTATATGTTGTCAACAACAATACAGAAATTTCATATTTTGACTTTCAATTCTAAATAAAATATTTCATTATTATGATTCACTTAAATCACTGATAGATATAAAGGGTACATAACCATAGAAATTATACTTAATAAATTATATAGAATATAAAAAGAAAGCACAGTAAGAGTCAAAAAAGAGAGGTCAATTCTTCTTAAATAAATTTATTGAAGTTAAAATCTTTAAATTTTATAAATTTGTATAATCTCTAATAAAATCCTGAGTATAAATTTTATTTGGTATCTAATTTAGCTTGTTTGATATTTCATAGCCTGTTAAGACTTCACTTAAATTAGATACATCATTTTATTTTAAAAAACATCTTCAGTAACATAAGCATTTTCTTCAATCTTGCATCATATTATCATTTTCGTTTTCAAGAGTGAATAATCATGTCATCCATTAGAAATACCAAATTCATTATTTCATAAACACACTCCTCCTTAATCGGTAAATGATCATTAATATTTCTTGAATAATTTGTTAATGTGTCTACACCTAAAAAATTTCCTAATTCTTAGTTCTTTTATACTTTTTAATTCAACCATTCTAATTAGTCTCACTTTTTTTTTAGTGTAATAAAATATATCCGCATTTTCTCATATCTTTGAAATCTATATTTACAATAGGTATTCATGAATAAATGATATTTTTATTTCTTTCTGCGAGATTACTTAAATCTTTTCTTTAAGAATGTTACTTCATTTTATTATATTCCAAAATTCTTATATATCTATAATAATAGTATTATTTTAAACTTTTATTAATTTATTATAATGATCCCTCTTTAATAAATATATTATCATTAATTTGAGATAAATAAATGTTTAATGGAGTTTATAAATTCTTTTTGAATAAATTTCAAATAAAGCATCTTTATTAGATATGAAAATGTATATATAAGAGGAATTCTAGGAAGTTGTAATAGTAATCAAGGAGAATACTTATTAATTCATAAGGTAATTGGCAAATTATCAAAAAAAACAAGTAGATTACAATATAGAGAGATTTGGTGATTTATTTAAAGATAAGTATATAGTATTTAATTAATTATATTTATATAATGAATTTGTAATATATAATCAGCCTATTTCCTATTATGCTTAAAATGTAAATCAAGGAGAGAAGAATTCCTTGATTATATATTTAACTATTCTTATCATATTTCTCTTATCAATTTTCTTTTAAATTTTTTGTGTTATTTTAAATGGTTTCTTAAGTTAAAGGATGATTTTTGTAAAATTAATAAAATTTAAATTGAAATGATCATAAGTAACAAATCTATCCAATAATCAAAAATAAAAGACAAGAATCTATCCACATAAGAATTCATTTAATATTGATTTTGACATCTCTAAACTCTTTTACACTCTCTCTCTCATTATTATTAAATGATAATATTTATTTTAATATTCATAATGAAAAAGATATTGTATTTTAATGTTCCATTATCTTTAAACAATAAATTAAGAAGAATACTGAAATGCCAATTAATAAAAATTTATCTTAATATTTTTCTAATTTATGACAAAACTTAATTTAAATGTAAAAAAGTGAAAATTTAATAAAATTTTATTAAATCATTTGTTAAATTTATTTTTTAATTTTTAAAGTGTGAATAAGAAATAAAAATTTTTCTAAAATCATATAAAATTTTTTTAAAATTTTGTTGAGTTCAGAAAATATAATATTTTGAAATTTTTAAATACAGAGAAACCTTAATTTAAATTTAAATTAAATAAAATTTATCAAATAATTTTTATTAAATATTAAATTACTTTTAGTTATGCAATTAGATAATAAAAATAATCAAAAGTATTTCATTATAATTTTATTTATACATTTTTCAAAGCTATATTAAAATATAAAATTTTTCATATAAAACAATATATAATGTTGCATATTTAAATGTTTAACTTATGGTTAAGGAGTATTGATTGCATTTAGCATTTACTAAAACAATTTGATTGATGAGGTAGTCATCTATATGTATCGTCGAAAGAACAACAATGACACAAATTAATTTAGATTAAAAGTTTTTCTTATTATGTTAAATATCTATAAATAAATTTAAACCTTATTCACTGTTTATTTTCATTTCCTTATTGAATCATTTTTATATTTCTTTTAATCATATATTATGTCCTTTTTTAATAATTATTTAAACTTCCCTCTTAATAATTCATGTTATCATATTAAAACTATTTCATAAATGACTACTTACATTTAATATTATAGAACATTTGTATTTGTAAGTTTGTGTATTTTATTACCATAATTCCAAAAAATAATTTAATCACTGCCATTTTAATATTCATGTTTCTTAAAATTATTTGTTTATTACCTAATATATTTCAGTACAAAATATAAAAAGTTTTATCAGAATTTATTTGCACAAAATTTAATTTGAACATAGCAAAGATAGAAATAATTTTTTTTTACTGAGGAGATAAATAATAGCATTGATCTCTGATATAAATTCATATTATTATAATTTATATAATCAATAATAGAGGGTTTTTTTATTTTAAATATTCTTATTTAATAAAGTAATAATAACAATAGATTGAAAATAGAAAAAATAAAATTTAATGAAAATTTTAAATATTTTTATAAAATGATTTTTATTTTTTTTACACTCTTTTAGTTTTATGGATAGGCATATTAGATGATAGAAAGAGAGATTTTATTCTACCTATTAGATGGAGGATACTAAAAATACAATTTGTATGATAATATGTTAAAACAAATATGTTTTATATTTTAAGGGAAAATAAAATTATCATTTTTAGGACAATAAAATATTATAAATAAATAATTAATTAAGATGGGTAACTAATCTTAATATTGAAAATGTACAAATTATGAATCAATTATCATATATTAACTAAACAAATCGCAATTATATATATTTGAATATTATTCTAGAATTTAAATCATTATCATCAAATAATACTAATTTTGTTTCACTTTCAATGAATAATTCAGTTCTTATATATAAATGGAAGAATAAATAAATAATGTAAATTGGATTAAAATTGAATATAAATGTTTCATTCAATTGTTATAGCGTTCATTTATCAATGCTATTTAATATTTTACTTGATTGTTATTAGAACAATTAATTTTATTTTATGAATATAATGCAATTTTTTGTATTCCTCTTAAGATTATAAACCTATCAGCACTAAATTATAGTCTATTGTTGATGATACTAATTCTTATATACTATATGCCTAATATTATTAAAATAACTCTATTTTATCCCTATTTTCAAATCAATATATTGGATGTAACGATTAATAATTCTATATTTTAAATTGTTCTTACGTTCTCTTTAAATAAGAACAATTATTCAAATCTAGATTCCTGTAAATGCAACTTCACTTTAAGTAGTTCATAATATTTATCCTGAAAGAATAATAATTGAATACAAATGTTAAACTAATCAATCTATTAGTTTCCAGGTTTGAAATTTTTAAATTTATCATAATATTATTATGTGAAGAATTTATTAGAAATTGGTAATCATCTAAACACAATTAGAAAATCAGATAATTTATTCTTGTATATTACTTTCGTAAATTTTACAGTTTACATTTAAGATCCTTCATTAACTTAGCAAATGCATTTATATTATTAGCTAAAATTAATTCAAAATTTTTAAGTACTCTTCCTATTTAGAATTAGAAATTATCTTAATTTGATAATTTTTATAAGGGCGCTTTTTATTGACTTGAATAGATTTAAAGTATTAATATATCAAATAATTACAAAATTAAAGCTATAACTATACTTCCCATAATTTATTATAATTATAATGTATCTTTATATGATCGATTTTAGTTCCTATGTTAAAATAATTATAATAAATTTCATAATAAAGTATTACTTTCTTATCAGATTTCAAGATATTAAAGGATAATAAAAATATTACCATTAATTTAACAATTCCTCATCAAAATTATTCTTTTAATTCTCCAATTAAACCTAATGATGATTTTAAGCATTTTAATATTTTTATATGTTTTTAATTATAACTATATTAATCTTCATAGTGCTGCTTGTCCAATGATTATTTTTGTTTATTGTATATTCAATATGATGAAATGGGATACCATAAGTCTAAGAATATTACCTCTTAAGATTGCAGATAAATTGTTAAAAAATATAACACGAAATCATTCTATTAAGTTTGCATGATTATTGAATAACAATCATTTGTTCAATACTTACATAAGAATTCTCTCTAAAATTCTTTAATAACTTCAATAAATAATTCATTTTTTGCTTTACAAATCAAAATTAAAATAATTCCTTAGACTAATAAGAATAATCAAGTTACTTTTCTTAAAATAATTCCAAAAAATTCTGATTACTACTATTTTACTGGTAATTCTTTTTATTAAAATGGTATTCTGATGTTATATAATTTAGATTGATGATCAGTATTTTATAGGAATTTGCTATTTATGAAATTTAGTAAATAAAAGTATGTAGATATCAATTGTGATTCAAAATTAATTGTATTAATCTTCATCTTAAAATGTTATGATATGATTGTTAATGAATAATACAGTATATGTTAAATTATATTATATAAGATTGTTATCTAATATAATGGTTGCTAGTTATTTTAAAAGAGGAACAACTTATTTCAAAGTCAATTTAACTTGTATGAATAATCTAAATGTCAGGAATTATTCTATTACATTTAATTTATAATATGCATCTTCGTCAAAACATATAGATGGATTATTGAACTCCTATTTTATTTTATCCTATAGAGATCATACATAGGTTAAAGTTTATCAAAATTTTGGATGAATAAATGTATGAAAACTAAAAAAAACACTGAAGCTGAAAGAACATAATCTAAAAACTTTAGAGATTTGAGTTTACAATTAATTTCTCAGTCTCTTTAATTCATGTGAATCTTTGAATAAATTAATTAAATTTTTCTCTCTATTAACTATTTATACAATAATGGCTTCTGTTTATTTAGATGTTCTTTCCTAAATTTCTCAAATCTAATATTATTAATTTTTTTATCATCAAAATAATTAATCCTATAATATTCATTAGATTAATTTTAAATAAGTTTAGAATTAGTATTTATATTTAAAACTTATTGTTTTTTCATAGACTAATACATTTTACTCATTGCATATTTTTAAATCTTCGGCGTCTATAAATTTTTGATTTAATCCTTTTTAATCAATCATTCTAATTAAATTAAAATAATTTTTTCGAATTAATTAACTAATGTCGATGTTTTTTTTAATTTTAGATACAACTGAAAAAATAATTCATCCTTAAGGAATAATTTTTGCTTTTCAGGATTTTGCAAATCAACAAAAGAATTAAAATATAAAAGTTAAATCATTAAATATATTTCAAAATACATGAATATATAAATATTAAATAAATAAGATTAAAATTTTGATCTTTTGTAATCCTTATCATAATTAATATTATTTGATATAATTAGTTTATTAGTAATTTATACCTTTTATGGATTGAAAATGGTTTCAAATAATTCAATCAAAGAAATTAAAAAAAAGAATTAATATTTAAATTATTTAATACTCATAAATATTAAACTATTTCTTTGTTCAACAATTCTATTTTCGCCCATTTTTCATCAATTTAATCTTAACCTACGTATTTATATTTGACTTAATCCCAAGACAATATTGATGTTTAATTTTCCTAAATTAATTAATTATGATTAGTCAGCTATGATTATTCTTTTTGATTTTAAACATGTTCAATATTTTATGATTTTTATTGTTGTTGAGTAGTTATTTTTTGAGTTTTAATGACCTTATTAGATATTTTTGACTTTTGTTGAAAATTTTATTGCTACCTTACTTCTGTAACCTTTTTCATATTTTACTATTAATTTGATAACTTTTAATATCCTTATTTTTATAATTTTTAAGTATTTTCTGGCTTAGAATGAATTTAATCTTTAGATTTAAAGTTTACTTAAACTTTTTAAATTTAAGTTGTATCTTATTTATTGCCAATTATTTGCTTTTACACATTATGTTCTTCCTCCTTTAACAAATTATATCTCTAGTATTCTTCACAGTAAAGCTAGTAATCTTATTTTTGTATAAAATTTAATAGTTTAATTGCCTCCTATCTTTTTCCTAAAACACTTAAAGAAGCAAAGATTCTCTTTAATCTTAATTAGTTATGAGTATTAATTTGAATACATATTTAAAATTAATCCTTATTCTCAAATTCTAAATTATCTACACTCCACCTAATTCCAAAAAATCTTAGAATCATTTTGTAATTATCAAAATAAAAATCCATAACCTATAAGTTAATATCAATATTAAACTTCTTTATCCGAAATCATCTTATTTCTTTCTTCAATAGTTAATCTATAGCTATCAGAATTAAAATTGCTTTAAAAAAAATTTGGAAATATCCATTAAATATAAGAATGATCCTATTCCATGTCTGTATAAAATGCATTTATTTCCACTGATCCAAACTAATAGCCTTTCCAATTTGTAATATGCCTATGAATGATATCGCTGATACAACCCTTTTTTTATTTATGAAAATCAAAATTAAATAATTGAAATTATTAATATTGCTTCTGTTTATTTGCTACTTCAGAGCTTTATTTTTCTTCTTTGATAAAACCAGAATCCATTAATTCACTTTATTTCTTATTTTAAATATGATAATAAATCAGATAAAGATTTGAATTTTAAACCCAAAATATATATTATTTGTGAAAATTTTATAAGTTAATTTTTTAATAAAATTTCCCTCTTTCTGCTATCCTAAATTCAAGTAACTTTAATCAATCACCAATCTTTAACATTTAATGCAATTTTTCATCTATGAACTTTAAACTATATGAATGAATTTTATTTGAATCTAAGTAAGTTACACATTAGTTTAAACCAATAACATTTCAATATCAAGCATAAATTTTCATATCATGTTCTAATTTTTCATCCTCCTAATCTTATTCTGAATCATAATCTTATTAAATCTTCTTTACATTCTTATATTACCTAAGTATATAACTTTGTAATTGAGTTTTCTATCGTCATTAATTAATAATAGCTCTTAAAATATATTTTTATAATAATATTCACATTCTAAAATATTATATGCTATAATCTAAAAATAGAAAAAAATTCTGAAAATTATTTTAATCTTTATCTAAGAAAGAACATAAAAAACATAATTATAAAATAAAAATTTTACATAAGTAGTTATATGAAAATTCTATAAACTTTAATTATCAATTAAATATATAAAAATCTTATTATGATTATTATTTTATAATTCTAATTTTTTTAACTAATTTATAATATTTAATCACAGAGATGTTTAGAACCAAAAGCTATAAAAACATATAAATGAAGCAAAAAATTCTATTTTTCTTCTTTTCTACTGAAAATCTTAATTAATTTGGAAATAATTAATATAGTTATCTTTCAACTTTATTTTTTAATATTAAAAAATTTTTATTTCTTAAGCTTTCCAAGATAAATAATTTTAATTATTAAGGGAAAATAGAAATTTTTTGAATTTCTTTTAAAAATTTAATGAAATTAAATAAGATATATTCTGCAAAAGTATTTTATTCATCAAAATTTTAAAATTTACTATCAAAAAATAAGATCCTAAAAGTTTAATCTAAATTTATTGATAAAACTATTATCCAACATTTTCAATCTCATCCTCCTGTTAAATTAATTTCTCAGGATAAATTACACTAAATAAAGCAAACCTAAAATAAGCATACTATTGATAAGAAAATATATATATATAGTTATATTATTGAACAAAAAAACTCATTTCTTTATAAACTAAAAAGAAAATTTAATTTTTTAATTAACTTAACTATTAATTTATTCATTTTTTCGATTAATTTACATATATTGAACATCTAATAAAGTTCATTCTTTGTTTGACTATATTAAATAATACTCCAACCAAATTAAGAATTTGATTATTAATTAAGAAAATTCATATGTATCAGATATTAAACAGTATATTTATTGTTCCTAAGAAATGAAAAGATTTTTGATTTTGTTGAAAAGCTTACAATTTTTGGGGTTGTTGAATATTTTCATCATCTAAACGAATAAATATTTCTAAACATTATTTACTATTTCTTTTACATTCATATCCCATCAGTTGATTTATATAGTTTGTTAGATTTAGAAAAGATTTAAAAATAAAAAATATTTCCTAGTAAAATCTGATTAATTATATAATTATATTTTAATATAATCTCATGATTTAACACAGTTTATTTCAAACAGAATTTTAAGAAATATTTATATATGAAATAAGATTTAGTTAAGAACTTAGATTCATCAAAATAGGGAATCAGTAATCACCAAAAAGCAAATGAACATTATAAGAAATCACAAGTAAAATGATTCACCATAATAAATAAGTTTTTAAAAGAAAATAATAAGATTGAAGAAGCTATTAACGAAGTTAGTAATTCTTTAAAATTTAATACTTAATTTAACGAAGCCTATACTTTAAGAGGTATTGTTTCAATATATATTTTAGGGGAATTATATTTAGAAAAAAATTAATTAAAGGAAGCATTTAATGATTTTAATAAGGCAATAGAACTTAATTAAACAGCATCAGAAAACTATTATTTTAGAGGTATTAATTAATTAAAATCTTAGGAACTATCTTTTGGAAATAAGAAAAGTTTGAAAAATCCTTAGAAGATTGTTAGAAAGCAATAAGATTAAATCCAAAATATGCGTTAGCTTACAATAGAATAGGTTTGATAAATTAAATGAATATAAGGAACTGTGTTGGTTGATTAAGGAAAATAATCAGATGCTATGGTTTAATACACAAAAGCTATAGAGATTGATCCTAAATGTGAATATGCTTATATGAATAGAGGTAATATAATATTTAATAATTAGGTTTGTTATTTGAAGATCTAAAATAAAATGATAGAGCTTTAGATGATTATAATACAGCAATAAAATTAAATCCAGAGCGTTCGGTTGCATATAATAATCGAGGTTTAAATATATATTTTTATGAATATAGGTATCTTATTATTTTATATTGGGAAATTCTAAGAAGCTCTTATGGATTATGATTAAGCAATAAAAATAAATCCTTTAAATGTAGGTGTTTTCAATAATAGAGGTTAAATCGAATCTCATATTTAGCTCGTTTATTTTCGATGATTGGTTAATAAGATAATGCTCTAAAAGATTTAAATAAGGCTTTAGAAATAAACCCAGAACATCCTAATTCCTTTAATAATAGAGGTAAGAGAAATTGTCTATATTGTTAGGATAATTATTTTCAGAAAAAGAATAATATGATTTGGCTATTAAGGATTTCAATAAAGCAATAGAATTAAATCCCTAACATGCTTTGGCTTATTTTAATAGAGGTATTCGATTGAATATAAGAAAGCTAATCTTTATGAAGTAACTGAATAAAGAGAAAAAGCTCTTAAGGATTATAATAAAGCAATAGAACTTGATCCTGAGTATCCAAGTTCTTATAACAATAGAGGTATATTATTTAATAGAATAAAGGCATGCTTTTAAAAATAATAGGTAAAAGTGAAGAAGCCTTATAAGATTATCAAAAGGCTATTATGTTAAGCTCAAATAATCCACTTTATTTTGCTAATATTGGAGATATTTATTATTCTAATTAATCTTATCATTAGGCTACTTAGTATTATAATCAATCTTTACTATTATTATAATAGTTAACTCTTTAACTTCAAACTGAACTGAATTTAACTAATGATAATCTTTCATTTATTAAAGGAAAAATTGAAATATTATTATTAATATAATAGGATATTAATAAAATTAAAAGTGATCTTGAGTTATTACCTGGAAAATTCCAAAAAAATAAAAAAGTTTCAATATTATACTCTGAAAAAATTAATAATATTGAATAACAAGTTATTAAGAAGTTAAATACAAGTTCCTCAAAAGAATATTAATATTAATAGTAGAATTTATTAGAAACATTAAGAGAAATGTAATTAGATTTGAAAATTGTTAGAAAAGAAATTATTTAACTTAAATAAGAGAATGTAGAATTAAGATAAAAAATTTAGTAACTTGAATTCTAAGATAGATATATAATTGATTAATCTATGGTTGAACTCAAAAAATAAGAAAATTAACATTAATTTATTTATTATAAAGCTTTATTTTGGCGTTTATATTATTATTTATAAGCTATGGCATAAATATCTACTGATTTATACTAATTTAATAAGGATGCTATGATAGAGAGTACTTCTGAAAATGTTATGAATATAGTTTAAAAGGTTTTTAATGTTGGTACTTCTGCTTTAGGATCAGTACCTATAGTAGGAAATACATTTATGATAATAAATGCAGCTTTAGATTTTACATTAGAGTATAAAAAAGAAAATAAATTTAAAAGAAGATTAATACGGCTTAATAATATACTTAGAATATTTGCAATTAATCCATCTGATTTAGAAATAGAAGTACAAATGGCAGCAATTTAATTAAGTAAATAATAAGAAAAGAATTTTAAATAAAAATAAAAATCTTAATTTACAGAATTTGTTGATTAACTTGCCCAAAAAGAAAATTAAATCTATGAATCAAATTTTCATTGGTAAAATGGAACTGAAGATGCTTTATACATTTTAAAATATTTAGAAGAAAATAATAGTTAAATATTAGGGGAAAATTTTGAACAAAAAAAATTAAGAGAAATACTTGTTGAAGCAGTCAAATAAAATTAAGAAGATTACATAATTTCAAGTTAAAATAATTAAAGTAAATAGGTTGAAAGAGTTTCTTCTGGTTGTTCACCCTGTCTTATTTATTGAAATTAAAATTAATTATTTAAATATTGATATTTTTTATGTAAATTCATTTTGAATCTTAAAGATTTCTCCTTAATTAAGTTTAAATAATACATCTTAAGGGAGTTTTTGTTTGAAAATAGCTTATTCTTAAAAGTTGAGAGATAATTTTATCTAAAATAATATTATTTCCAATTTTGAGTTTAAAACTAAATTTCATTTTAAATGAATAAATCTATCCTTTGGATGAATTTATTTTTGGTATAAGTTTTTTTTTCATTAGTTAATGTAATCAGAGTGCATTAAAATTTAATTAAACTTTTAAAGGTATTTACTAAAACTATATCTAATTTTGTGTTTTCTACTTACAATTATTTCATATAAATTTGATTATATTAATCAGAATAGATATTAAAATAAATATTTATATGAAAAATAATGAAAAAATCAAGTATATAAGGATAAAATATCTTAAACTTAAATAAGGAGTATGGGAAATATAAAAGTTTTATTATTTTACTATTTATCCTGAATGAATAATAGTATTAGTTTTAATAAAATTTCAGCATTTTATAATATAAATGATATTAGATAATGATATTATAAATTTAAACTTTCTTGCTTTAGTTAGAAGAGTTCATAATAATATTAAATATAAAAACTTTTAACTTTCAACAAAGATTCTGAAATGTTTATATACATTTTTATAGAAATTAAACAATGCTTTTAATATCTTATTTTGATATTAAGTTATAATTAAACATCTTGATTATCGAGAAAATTCCTTTAACAGATAAATTATAGCTAAAAAAAATAAAAGATTAATCCTAATATTAATCGATTTTATTATTCAATTTTTCTATATGTTTAAGATCAAATTAATATAAGGAAATTTTATTGATTAAATCAGGCATATAATAAGATATTGATTTCTTTATAATAAGTATTATAAATGATATAAGATGAGGGTATAATAGAATGTGTTAATAAACACAAGGATTGTTCGATGTTGTTAGTTTTAGATAAATAAAAATTCAAGTCTTAAGAGAGATGGATATGTGCTGATTGCTTAGAAGAACATAGAGATAGTTAAAATAGAGGTTTAACAGATGATTTAGTAAGAATTAATTCTTAAAATTAGGAAAAAATGAGTTAATAAGTAAACATTTAAAGAAAATAAAACATAAATGAAATTGATTAATTTACTCAATATATGCAAAAGCTTAAAGAGAAGTTATTCAAAGTTATTGATATAATTATTGTTAATTCAAATTAATAAAAGTATGAATTGAATAAGAATAATGAAGATTTATATGATGAAGAAGAATAGATATATTAGGAAGTAGAGAGAATAAATTAAATAAATAAAATTTTTGAGAGCAAATTAAAAAGTTCTGTATCAATCCTTAAATAAATTGTGGATATAATAGAAAAAGAAACAGATAACTTAAAGAATGTTTTAGTTGAATCATAAAATAATGAAGAATTCAATTTAAGACCTTTAAAAAAAGTATAATTAAATTCTCTTGCATCTCATATAGAGTCTTTTAATGAAAAGCACCCTGTAAATAGAGAAATAAGATATTAATAAATCTAAGAAGTTTTTTAAGAATAATGGTGTTTTGCACTTGCATTTAATAGACAAGGATCAATAATGGTTGGAACCGCAAAAAAAGATATAAAAATATGGGATTTTGAAAAAGGGAAATTAAAAGATTCAGGAATCATTTTAAAAGGACATCAATAGGATGTTACTTGTATTATCTTTAGTAAAAAGATAAACTGGTTTATAACAGGAAGTATAGATTGCAAAATTATAGGATGGAAATAATTATCAAATCCTATTAATTGGGATGTATCATAACCTTGTGATACATAATCTATTGTATGGTGTTTATTATTAAATTAAAATGAAAATTAATTATTTTCAGGACATGCAAATGGATCTATTAAAGTTTGGAATTTGAATACAGATTAGAATAAAATACTATTTTACTATTAACTTAGTAAGCATAGCAAACATATTGGTTAAATTAGTATAAATGAAGATGAAACATAATTAGTTTCATGCAGTGATGATAAAACAATTATAGTTTGGGAAAAAAATATTAATCAAAGAAGATTTAAGTTCAAATAAGTCTTAGAAAATCTAAAAAATGATAATGGATTTAGAGTTTGCTTTCTTTCAAAAAATATGATTGCTTGGTGTTAAGAAAATTAGGCTTTAGTTCATATATTTTAAAAAGAAACAAAAATGTTTGTAGAAAAGAAAGAGTTGTAAATAAACTTAAAATATTTAGACTTAAAAGATGGATAATCTTTATTTCCATCTATTTATAATTAAGAAAAACAAATTTATATTGTAAAGCATAATAAATATGTTTATATATTGAATTAGCAAAACTAATTATTTAATACATAGATTGAACCTATTGATTGTAGATCTTGTAAAAATTATGGCAATATTACAAATGATGGAAACTATTTAGTTATTTGGAATGATTCAACATTATCATTTCATGTTTACCAATTGATATATCAATGAAAATAAATTTGAGCTTATAAAATATAAATCAATTATAATAATTTATTAATCATTTTATTTTTATTATAAAATTACATAACCAAACAAAAATAAAAAATTTTATGAATTATTCTATATTCAATTATCAAATTTAATCATAAGATTTTTATTATTGGAATCTAATTCATGATTCTTTTTTCAAATATTTTATTTTCTTAATATTGATAGTTTTATTTAATTTTATTAATCTCAAAATCTTATACAACAACTTATTTAAAAAACTTAAACAAATTATCATTCTATTTATAAATAAGAGAACATGAATTAATTAAATAAATTTAAAAAATGAATTTTTATCTCTATATTTAGAAACGTTCTATTTAGAAGCAGGATTTTTAAATAGATAATTTAATAAAATATTTAGTGAAACTAGTATCATTAAATAAGATCAGATTAGTTTTTATGGGATATTTCAATAGAAATTTATAATTTCGGAAAGATGATTATCTCTTTTAAGAAAAGAATAAGAATTACAAATTTATTGTAAATCATATTCTTAAAGTTACATGATTATCATAAAAAATGGATTAATTGCAAAAAATCTATTTTTCAATTTTAAAACATAATAAAGCCTAATAATAATAGATTTATCATTTATTCGAAAAAAAACAGTAAGCATGATTTTACAAAATAAATTAATAAAAATTTTAATAAATAAATGAAATTTTTATTTTTTTTTCTTTATGATTCTGATTAATCCTAATAATGAATAAATAATTAAACTATAAGGAAATGTGTGCTGCCTTTGATGCTCAAATCAGTTTCAATAAAATGAATATAAATTTAAATATTAAAATCAAGGTAAATTTTGAAAAGGTCAGAGTTTGAATCTTGATAAAATTTTAGATTGAAGCAGCAATGATTATTTATATAATACTCTCTGCTTCAACTGATGAATAAAGGAAATATTGTTTATTACGAACATCTTTATAATTATTAATTAAATAACTCAGTTCAGTGTAATATATTTAGGAAACCAAATATATAATATTTAAAGTACAAGATTCTGATGAATTAACTCTTTAATTATTCCTCTATAATAATTAATAATTTTTTTTTTTAATCAAGAATTCTATTATAATGTATTGTAATAGATTAATGTATTGCAATAGATTATAATCAAAATAGAATCTTGATTTTTAATTTTAAATAATCTCCTTTTTTATTTAATATAGTGATTGTGTATAATCACATAAGTTGTAGAATTTTAACGGTTAAGCTATCATAGCAGTTTTGAGATATTTTTTATATAAAATTATAGTTATAATTTAGCTAATTAAATATTAATAGTAGATTAAATAAAATCTTTATTTTTCAAAAATTCATATTTTAAAGCCTTCATTTAAGTTTAAATTAAAAAGATATATTTTCTGAGATTAATTATCCTCCATTGTATGATTTATCTGGTATTTTATAAAAATAATCTTAGAATCACCATAATATTAGATTGCACTCAAAAATATTTACTGCAAAAAAAGGATTCAAGTATTTTGAAAGTGGAATAAAGAAATAGATCACAGATTAACTGTCAATTGAATATTGTTAGTTATCCATCCTCATTCTATTATGAATAAAACTTTAATATAAAAATTTTATAATATAACAATAGTTATATAAACTATTTTTTAAGCTTTGCAAACTTATCATTATTATATATTATCATAAATATTATTAATTAAGTTATCAACATTCAGATATATTCTCATCTTACTACTATATTCAATATTGTAGCCTCTAATTTTGATAATAGCGAAATTGTTATTCATTTTCCTTTGCTGATATTTTTAAGATTTTGTTCAAGTTGGAATTCTATAGTTCTTTTTCGCCTTGATAATTTTAGAGTACAATAAAGGATGAAGCTTAAATTTAAGACCTAATAATAATCTGTTATCCTCAATTCAAAAGTTATTGATGACTAAAATTGAATAATCCAAGTAAAAAGGAACCATAGAACTTTCCAGGTTTCATCAGAATCTGAATATTTGTTTGAGTTATACTCTAAATCTATTTTCTAGAAGATCAACTTAAGCAGCGTAGACAAAAGTAATTGTTATGAGAGACAAGTTAGTGAAAATATTAATGAGTTTGTTTTTTGTACGAAATAATATTTATTTTACATCTATCTTTTATAAATTACTTTAATAAAATAATTATATGGTAATTCAAATTATGATTTGGATAGTTTAAGTAATTCTTTTTTTAGTGTTTTGAATTAGAAGATTTTAATAATTATTAATTAAACTATTACTATGATAATCAGATTTAGAGTTTAAAAGAATTAAGTTGTCTAATTTGTTAATCTGTTTTGTTATAGCAATCATAGTAGTTTTAATAAATATATTACGGATTCAAACTATAATCATTCGTTTACTAACCTTGCTAAATTGAAATATTTGTCAATTTATCTCAGTAAAAAACATATAAAGGAAATAATAAAAATATTAGAAATAGTCGTTGAGAAAAGATTATGTAATTAATTAAATAAAATAAAGATATTTTCAATTTTTTGGAAAATCTACTAATATAATAAGCAACAATAAAATTATTCATTAAACTAAAAGATTTTAAGAAAAGAAATCATTTTAATTTTCTATCTTCAGTTGTAAAATATTACATCACTTTTCATATATATTACAAAGGATTTAAATATTTTTAATATTTTATTCCCTAATTATAAAATTCCTAAAATAACATTATCACAATTGAAACTCAATCGGTATGAAGTTTAATTTATAAATATTGTGAATCATTAATATTTTTAGATTTTTGGCCATTTAAATTGTTAATTAAACTTAAATTATTGTGCAAATTTGGATAAAAACTAGAGTTATTATCATATTAAATGACTGAGAGGATAAGCTGTTTTGGAAATTTAAAGTGTTGGATTGGAAGTTGTTTTTTTTGTTACTTTTTTAAATATGCTCAGGGTAAAACATATTGAAATATTTTGAAAAAATAAAAATGTCAAATTTGATGCAAATTATGTAATGTAGTGAAAAATGCTCTTTCAAAAACATAAATTTTTAGCCTAATTGGAATATTAACTGTTCAAATTATATCTTAGAAATTTAAGGAGGTACTTTTTTAGAAAATGAATAACCATATTTAAGAAATGTTGTTTGATGTATAAAATATTAAAAAGTAATTTGCAGTTTGTTAAAATATATAATTACACTTATATTTTATTAAATATTAATAAATTTGCCAAATCAGCCACTCTCACTTTAAAAACTTTCTTAAAACTCAAGTCAACAAAATGATTTGAAGTTTAAAATCAAAATGTATATTTCCATCATCTTTTTTTTATTAAAGCACTCCTTAATTAAATTTATATTAAAAGTTTTATTATAATTAGTTAATAATCTTTATTTTTTTGAACTATTAATAAATACCTTATTGGGTTTATTTTTGTATTAAATCATAATATTTATAAATAATTATAAAATTTTAATATTTTTTACTTCAATAATCTTTAATCACCAACCTATATAATAATTATTGAATTAGAATTCAGATTTCTTAAGTAATTTTGGCATTGTACAAAACTTAAAAATGACTCTTCTATAATAGAATTAACAAAAAAATATTATCTTAATATTGAGAAAAAAATGAGGCAATTTTATAAATAAGATTGAGTTTTTCTTTTTCAACCATACTAATTTATTTTTTATGTATTTATATAAAAATCTTATAATGTATCATACTAAATTGGTTTAAAATCTGTAGATAGTTTTTCAAAGTCTAATTAAAATATTAAAATAATAATTTAAAGTCATTTTAATTAAATTTTTTCTTATAAATTTATACAATATCTTAATGATAATTCAATTCAGACTTATTAAATTATCTCTTAGAGTATTGTTTTTATTTATGTTTCATTATAATGATATTCAACTTTTTTATTAAATTAAATTTCTGAATAATATTACATAACAGAGCAGACATGATATCCACAAGAATAGCCATCATTTTATTATGTAAGCTAATTTTAAATAATATTAATATCAGGGTTTGAATTCAATAATTAGGAAAGAATTCTTACTAATTGATCTTCAAATCCATTCATAGTAAGTGAATTAACATATGTTACTTCTTAAGATTGTAAATCATATAATAGAAAATACCAATGGGAATTATATTTATTTATTGGAAAACCAACCTTAGAATAAACTTTTTTTAAATCATAATTAATTTCTTAGTATTATAACAATTCTGAATCAAATTTGTTTTTTGCTTGATTAAAATCATATGGTTTAGCATAATTAGTTGATAAAGTAGTGGGCATGAATAATATTCTTTTTATAAGATGTCTTTATTCTTTGGAGGTTTAGAAATATCTTTTTTCATTATTCAAATTTAAATAATTAACATAAGCATCAATAATCCTACTTGGCAACCATTAATTTTATGAGAAAATTAAATTGTCTTTTTAGTTGAATTATTGATTCAATTTACACCAATGTTTTTGATATTACAAATCATTATTTTATAAATACAATTCTTTTTAACTATTTTAATTTTAATATTAAGGTTGATGTTTTCTTTCATCATTTCTAATTTAATTTTATTTTAATTATCCTTAATAAAATTCTCCTTCGTACTTTATAACATTTGATTTTTAAGCATATTCTATACCTTGTCCATTTAAAATAAATTTAAGTGATTTTATATCTATTTCAAAACTTCCTTCTTATATTAAGTATTTTGGATTTATATTTTCATCAAATTCTGTAAAATATAATTTACCTATAGACTAATAAATCTTCTATTTTAAGATTGGTAATGGAGAATTTAAATTTTTAGAGTTAAAATAAAAGTTTAAATTAGTAAATTAAACTAAATAATCATATTTAGTATTATCAGTTTAAATAACATCCATTTTTTAAATCAAACAGTCTTCATAAAATTATTTAAAAACTAAATTTTTATCAAATTCTGATGGATCTTTTAAAGAATCAAATCGTTTCTATGAAGTACTTCTATTACTTTGATTTATTTCATTATCTTGATATAAAGTCATTTATTCAATGCCTAAATTACATGATTAATTATTTTTTTATTAACTTTCAGAATTATTATTACATATGATTTGCTTTTAATCATTTTGAATATCTTAAATCAGTTTACTTGCAATATAATTGAATTATTCTCTTACATTTTGAAATTAATTTTTGTAAAATTCTAATAAACAGATCTTATTATTTTTAGCAAATTTTTTCATCGAAATCAGTTGCTCTTGATCTAATTTTATCGTATTCTAAGTGAGAAAAGCGATTTGTTCTTTATTATGATTTTAATCATTTCTAAACAATTTAACGAGTTATTCATAATTTTCAATTAAAATATCATCAATCTCAAAAATTACAGCATCCATTTATTAATTCTAAATTAATCTTCTGATTTGCAGTTTATCTGGTGTCTTCAAAGAATATATATTAAAGTTATACTAATTAAATTATTTTAAGAAAAGCAATTTTAGTTTTTAATTATACAATTTTATTCCCATTCTCAATTTAAAAAGAATCTATATCTACTATTAAATTATTAAATATTGATTCTTTTTCCCAATCTAAATTATTATATAAAACTATACCAAAATTAGATATATATAATATCTAAATAATCTTTGAATTCTACTTATTTATTTCCTAAATATTATTATTTTGTTTTTCGTTTTTTTAACGCTCTATTTTTTAATCAAAATTTGAAAGTTGTTCAATAAAAATATCTATTGATTCAAGTTTGAATAAATTCTATAATATATTTTTTATTTTAGAAACACTTTATTAATTCATTTTTTGAGTCACAACATCAAATTCATCAAATTATAAATTAAACTATTCATTCAAGTTTTAAATATATTAGGTCCATTTTTAGATAATGTTATCTAATTAATTCAATTATTTTTAAAATTCTTCCTTTATTCTTTAGAATATTTTCTGAAACTCCTAAATTTTTTCTAAGATTTAAATTTGCCATCTCTTAATCTCTTAGTTAATACCAAAAGCTTTGGAAAATAAAATTACTTTATTCATTTGTTTATTTTTAATGCATTCATCACACATAAACCTTTCCTGACTACTTTTTTCTTAGTTGACTATTGTTATTCGCTGATTATGATTAGCACATTTAGGCTCATTAATATTTTTGAGCAACATAATTATAAAAATTATTTATTTACTTAAATTATTAAACCTTTTTTTCTAATTATTAATAATTCATAACTTTAATGATTTCTTGAGAATTTGTAATTATTTAAATTATTAAGAAAGTCTCAAAAAATTAATAGTAAGAGCTTCTCAATTTTTTAAATATCAAAATTTTTTAAGAATGAATATTTTATTTATTATTACTAATCTAATAATTATTTATAATTAAGAGATGAGTCATGGATATCTATAGATGGATATCTATAGCCATTTAAACTTTAATATTTAAAAATTTAATAATTCTTTTCATGAAACCTTATTAATGTGATATTATTCTTGAATTTGTATATAAAAATATTTTCTCATATTCTAATTTTTAGATAGCCAAACTTTACTTGATTACAAGATAATTTATTTAACAACTTTTTAATCATATAATTAAATTTATTTTTTAGATAGTTGATTTTTACAAAATAAATAATATATATGTGTGAGTCTCTTTCTTATAAATAAAAAAAATTAGTAAATTTATTTAATGTATGATTTCTATTATGAATAACAATTATTACAAAAAGATTTTGAATTGTGAAATATCTCAAAGAAAAATGTTTAAATTATTTTATTCTATTAAGTTAATTTAAAATAAAAAAGATTTCTGTTTCTAATTAATTTATTAATAAAGAAATGCACTAACCTCTATAACAAGAACATAAGTCTCTAATTCAATACTATATTTATCAAGATTTTTAAAATCTAGTAAACCTGTTATATTCAATGATGGCAATAAAAAATTATTTTGTAAAATAGACTGATCATCCAATGATACCTATTGGTCGAAATAAAGTAATTTTATAATTAAATCTTTCTAACTCAATCCATTATGATTTATAGCGAACATATTAAAGTGAGAAAGCAAAAGAATTTATATATGAGGAGAGAGGCAAAGTTAAAAGAATGATTGGAGGCTTAAATTAAGAATTAGGGATTGAATTATAACAGTTCATAAATGATTATTAGAAGAATAGTTTGAATAAAGAAGTTGGAGTTTTTTAGATTCCATCAAATATGTAATAACAACGATCGTAAGGTTAAAATTTTAATTAAAATAATTTGGATAAATTTCTAGATTAATTTCTAAATTAATTAGAAGTGATTGATAAATAAGTTAGTAAAATATAAACAACTAAATATTATATGGTACCTAATATAGATGAAATAAGAAAAAAAGCATTGTATTATTATTTTTATTTTTTAGAGGTTTCTATATATTGACATTAACTTAATTATAAAAAAATTTTCCAGGATAAATTCAAACTAATGGTTATCAAGATAATTTTCACCCAGATATGAAATCTAATTAGAAGAAAGACAAATCTTGAATTCAAGCTTTAATTATTTTACAAATATACAAATTAAAATTATAATTTTTTATTAAAATATATGATATTTATTAGAGAAATGATCATAAGAATATAATCAATAATCAAGAACAACTATTTTTAAACCCAGTTTAATATGATTTCTAATCTGAAGATACATAAATAAATTAAAGTCAGATACATTTTATAGATTTTAACAAATTTCATAAATAGCAATTAAAAAAAGATGTATAAATCATAAAGTCAAGAATTTAAGAGATTCAAGGAATAATGAGTCTTAATGAGAAAATATAAAAAAAGAATACTTTAACTTACATTAAATGTTGTATCTAAAGTAGAATATCGATTCAAAATTAATATGAAAGTAACAAAAAAATGATAATTTATTTTTGCTACTAAAAATCTATAAAATTTAGAGATCTCATTATAAGAATAATAATTTTATTCAAGGACAAAATGATTAATGGAATATGTATGTAACCATATATACATTTTTTATTAATAGGCTTATTTTTGTTATAAAATTAAAATATAATTATTTAGAATAAGAGACAATTCTTATTCTAAATAATTATATTAAATTAATGTGAAATTGTTCTAATGGATATCATTTTGTCAATTGTTTAAAACTAGATCTAAAATAAATCAATTGAATATTCTTTAGGATAAGTATACAAGATAATATAAAAAAATTCATTTGCTCAATTATTTGATTTAAACTCGAAGGATTACATCAGATGAAAAGAAATTTAATAAGCATTATCATCAATTTTAAAGTCTAATTGTAATATGGATTTAAGCAAAAACAAAAATAAAGAAAAAAAGGATTTAAATTAATCATGAAATTAGTTTTTGAAAAATAATTCCATTGTGAGAGGTGTAATATGATTTTTTAGAAATCAATTAAGCACAATGTAAAAGGTTTTAAAGAAAAATAAATTTTTTACATGAGAAAATACAATATTTGAAGATATCAATGAATCTGAATAAAAAAAATATTATAAAAATATTTTCCAATATTAAGTAAACTTTGAAAAAAGTTTTTAAAAATAGAATAAGAATATATTTAATCTTAAGATGTTTTTGATATTGGATTATAATATTAATTATATAATATAGATTGCTTATAAACAATGATGATTTCAAATATAATTGATAAGCAATATAAAAATAATAAAAATTGTAATTTCTTGTGCACTGGCTTCTTAACCTTTACATTAAACACAATTTTAGCCATCCCAATGAAAAAAGAACATCGAATTGCTATAACATGTATCTTAACTTTCAATAGATGGATCAAAATTAACACAAGTGTTATCATCTAATTTGTTACAGAGTATATATTAATCTCCATTTATTTTTTATTTCTTTGAACCACACAAAGAACTGAATGGATTATCACATTTATTATTAGTTATACAAGAGTTTGTAGAATTCATCAAACATGCAGGATAAGTCTTTACACACAAGTCATCATTTTTAATATCTTCACAAGTAGTCAATTCTTAACATTTATCATCTTTAACTATACATAGACCTTCTCTAGCAAGATAACATTAATCAACAGGTCTTTCAGCACATGTTGGAATAGATTCATCAGGTATTGGATCATAATAACTTAAACATCTGTTTAGATTTGAATCATATACACATTCATAATTGAAAATATCTTCACATTCTTATTCTGTTTATTAATTGCAACTTATTGGCTTTTAGCATTTATTGTTTTTCTATTAGCAACCTATAAATAAACAAACATCAATATTATGTATTTCTTCACAACTACGACTTACACATTTACCGTTTTCCATCTTACAACGACCTTTCATCCAAACAATTTAACCATCACATTCTTTTTCATTTAATTCTTCACATCTACAAACTCCTTTATGATAAGTGACAAATTATTAACTCCAAACAATAGTAGTCAAGATATAAAATACCATCATTTCTAAACTTATCATCATTTTATTTTAATAATAATGATCATTTCTAGTCTTTCAACATGCTTAAGAAGATAAATTAATCTATATTATTTTATTTTTATATTTCCTATTAATTCTATGTTGTTTCGATTTATTAATTATAATTACTTTTTTTCTTTTATCAGAAATTCTTAAAATCAACTATTTACATTCTATTTATATTTTAAACTATAAGACTTTCTAATGTCTTCTTGATCTTTAATTTAATATCACAATAATAATTATATATCAATAAAAATAAAATATGGATATGAATCAGTAATTAATTCCTAAATACTTTTTTAGTTGAAATTCTAAAAATTAAAGATTGACAATCTTTATAAACTAATTTATTTTGGAAGCAATGATTATTTATATTTCTATCAAATAACGTATATTGTAAGGAAATGTAGAAAAGTAGTATAAGGATAACAATCTATATAAATTAAATTTAGAAATATAATAATGATTTAGAATAAATTGTACTTATTTATTAATTATATATAAAAAATAAGTTTAATTTAAATTATAATGAATAATAGATATTCATTGTTTTTTTTCTTAATACTATCTAATTTGAACATCTTTAGATTTGGAATCCCATGTAATTAAAAATTCTCCATCTTCACTTATGGTACCAAATATTTCTCCATCAGATTCAATACCAAAGTGAATGGATTATTCTAATTTACAATCTTAAATAAAATCAAAAGAAGAAGGTGAAAATGAAAATCTGATTAGATTAACATAGCATCCATTTTTTGAAATGAGTAATTATTTAGATGGAATATATTTTTATGGAAAATAGAAAACACATGGTTATTCTCCTCCTTAAACAGGAATGTCTTGAGTTTTTGTAAACATTCCTGATTATGAATTAAATGTAAATATGCTTAAATTTGGTAATGCTTTTCCAGAACATGGTTAAAAAGCAAATTAATAATTATCAATAAAACAAACTCGCATTCCTTAGACATCTACTTATATTTTTTATTTGATTTCCCATAATTATTTATTTGATAATTACATCACTATAATAAACTTATCTTCACCACATGATATTAATTAATTTCCATCCTCATTAAGTGATAATGCCCATATACAATCTTGATGTTCTTTAATTGTTTATTAACAAATCCATTTTTATTTCTATTGATAAAATGAAGCAGATGACCAAAATTTAATAGATTAATCATCACTTCCTGAAATAAATAAATCTTCTGAAAGATGATGTATAATTAAACATCTAATACTATTAGAATGTCCATTTAATTTAAATAAAGGAGACCAAAAAGTTGGTTAACTAGAAAGACTATTTGGACTCCATATAATTATTGTTGAATCTTTTGAACCAGATATGAAACTATTTAACATAGATGGAGTATTTTTAAAAAAATTAAGAGTATTTACAAAATCTGTATGATCACCTTATAATAATTATAATAATTTTGGAGTTCTTTTTATTTCCATTTCACTTATAGAATTTATTGTATTTGATGAAATCACCTATTATTCTTATATAAAAATCTCCATTACCTTTATATTAGAATTAGATGCTACTATTATTATACTATTATCATGATTTATAGCTATTGCTCTACAGAAATATGTTTGTTTATGACTCATCTAAGGTAATAATTCATAAGTATTTGAACTATTACCAATTTAAGAATTATTCATAAGTAAACTTTATAATTAGTTTGATGATCTGGATTATTGAGGCAATTTCATTGATAATCTCTCTGATAATAATTTTATTGGAGAAAGAGGTGGTGAATATTATTATAATTCCTCTACATTTATTATTTTCTTTAGAATCTCCTTACAATCATTATATTCCTTAAATACATTAAAACATTCTAATTTCTCATTTATTTAACTACTCAATTCATTATGGATTAAATAGATTTCTTTTTTTAGCTTCGTTTCATCAAAATCATTTTATTCATTTTTTATTAATTTATCTAATTCCTAAAAAAATGAATATTTGTTCAATTGTTATTTTGTGAATTCTAAATTCTTTATCCATTCTTTAGAAATCTTTAATACTTCATCTAATTATTTTATTATACCTTATTTCAGATCTGTTATTGCTCCTTATAATTAGAGAACAGAATCTATATGAGGCATTAGTAAATTATCGTATTCTTAAACTTTATTTTATTATTTTTCCTCTATCATTTTTAATACCTTTTTAAATCCCATTGTTCTTTATTCACTTTCATAATCTTCAACACATTAAATACACAATAATCGTTCATCAAGTTTTAAATTTACATCCCACACTATCTGACTGATTGGTAGATTATGTTTATTCTTACAAACTAAATTCTGTTAGCTTTCAATTGTCTCTACCTTTAACATTTTGTTAATTTTATTTAATATAGAAAGTATTTTTCATACTTATTCTTTTTCAAACATTCGAAATATATTGATTTATCAAAGATATAGATTAAAAAATACATTCTATAAAATATTTTAATATTCTAAAATATTCTTTAATTTTCTATTAATTATAAAAATTATATCTCATTTTTTTTATAAATTTCATTATTATTCATATTTCACTTTTTAATTATCTTATGTGTTTTGATCATTCTCTTCTCGCCAATCATATTAAAATTAAACTAATTATCTATTTCGAATACCATAGTTATTTTTATTTTTTTATAATATATATTTATTACATCTCTATAAAGAACTGTTAATTTTTTGTTTTGTATATCAAAAATTACATATAATAGTTATTTAATTACATTAGATATTAATTAATCTTAAAATAAATTTAGGTTTCATATAAATATCGCACGATTATTAACCAAAAAAAACAAGACTTATAAATTGCTTAATAAATTATAAATTACAACCCAAGAAGAACAAGATCATCATTATATTGATATTAACTTACTGTAACAAAACGATTATTTCTAATATTTTATGCTATTTTATTATAAAATAAAGTATTTTATTCTATTAGATTAATTTTTATTCTATTAGATTAAGTTTTATTCTATTAGATTAAGTTTTATTCTATTAGATTAAGTTTTAAGAAGTGTGGATTTTAATTCTCCATTATTTTTTTATATTCTAATGTCACATCATCATAAAGATGAAATTTCAAACCTTATGAATCGCTAGTAAAATTAGTATAGAGCTTATTCACAAAATCCTCAAATGTTTTATAATTAAACAATGATATCACCATAGAAAAAATAAGTTTAAACTGAATTACTTTTATAAACTAATAATGAATAGCAAATCTTAATCTAGTATTATGTTTATCAAGATTTTTAAAATTTGATCAATCTATTATATTCTCTGGAAGCAGTAAAAAATTATTTTTAAAATTAACCTAATCATCCTTTAATAACTTTAAGCAGAAATAAAATAATTTTATAACTAAATATTTCTAATACAATCCATTATGATTAATATGTATCACATAAAAGTTCTTCTAATATAAAAACTTTAAATGATTAAAAAGAAAATGTTTAAAAAATGATAAAAAATATCAAACTCGACTTAGATTTTGAGTGCTAGAATTATCTTGATTCATATTAGGAAAATAGTTTAAAATAAATTGTTACAATTAATTAAATTTAATAATAAAAAAGCTTTTAGAATTACAATTTTAACCAAAATATATTATAATCAATTATTCCTCAAATTTCTATTGTGGATTAAAGAATTTAACTATTGAGACAATCTAAATAATCTTATATTCCTTCTGAATCAGAGGTTAAACAAAAAGCTAAGTATTTAATAATGATATTCGCATTAGAGAGTACTAACAACTGACCTTAAACAAATTATCAATAAATTATCCAAATTTTAAAGATAAAACCGAATTAAGTCACCAAGAAGATTCTCTGAGCTCTTACATTAATGATTAAAGTTAATCGAAATATAATTAACATTTGAGTCAATCAGCTGTTATGAGCTCTCATTTTCTAAATAATAATAAAAAAAAATTTTGATTATTGATGAATTTATTCTATTTGTTTAAAAAATATATGTATAAATAATATCACAAATTAATCAATATTGCAAAAAAATGGTAATAAAACTTATTAAATTTAACCTATATCATAAGTATTTCTGACTATTAATTTAGTCTATTACTCAAACATATTTGATTTTGATAATGGTTTTCTAGTTTAAAATAACTTTTTAACTTATAAAAAATCCAAAAAAAAATTTAAAGAAATATAATTGTTAATTTGATATGTATATAAATTCTTTTATATAAACATGTAAGATCCATTTTCAATCATAAATATTATAATTTTTCATTTTTCTAAGGACAGCCATTAATATTTATCATCCTTATTTGATTGAAGGTGTTAAATTTAGCTTTTGAGTTGTAAAATCATAACTAATTTTTCTAAAACAACTGCTAATAAAATATTCAACGATGTTCAGCATTATAAGAATTATTTCAAGATTTCATTTTTATTCAGCATTTTTATAATATTTAACCTTCATTTGGTTTTCTTATTTATTCTGTTTAATTAAGAAGCAATCTTATTTTATATAATATTCTTTCAATACTTTATTATCTTTTTTTAATTATGTAATATCTAATGATTTTGATATATAACATAAAAAGAATAAATTATAAATAATTTTCACAATTTGTACTTTAATATTTAAATTTTTTTTTCAATTCAGCCCAATATTTTTTAAAATGAAAAGCTTTATTTTAAATATTGGAATTAATTTTATTTATTCAATATGTAAATTATTCTTTCAGAATTCAATTTATAAAAATTTTATATTA